GACGTTTGTCCAATGTACATAGCAGACGGACACTTTCGGCGCATGATAGCATAGATTATATTTCTGGAGGCGCAGGAATACATAGAAAAAACAGTTTCTTGCCATTTCAACCAGAAAGGACGTTGTCTCATCGACTTGATTACCTGCATCCTGCTTCAAAGACCTTTTAAGACTACACTTGAAAGAGAATCCTCTCAACTGTCATTCATGCTTAAATTCGACACTTTACGCCTAGGTCTAAACAAAGACATTAATTATCTTACCCATTACAAAGATAGCTTCCCCAATTATCACCTCTAATATCATTAGCTCACAGACATTTACCTCCCCCCCATCCCTCTTCTGTTCTGAAATTTGATTTGTCCTTTTCATATGTGTTCATTTTTTTAATTGTATCCTTTGGTATATATGGTTGTGACAATTTTCTTCCACTATTTGATCTGAGGAAGTGGGTCTGGCCCACAAAAGCTCATCACCTAATAAACCATCTTGTTAGTCTTTAAAGTGCTACATAGTCCTGTATTTTGTTTCAGCTACACCAGACTAACATGGCTACATTTCTATCACTATTTCACATGCTGAGGTTTTCCACGGTAAAAGGGAAAAGTTGTCAAACATTATTCTTCAGCTATGATTGAAAATATTTGTTTGGCTTGTCTTTTTTAAATGGTCAAGCCTGCATTTTGAACTCAGGGTTGAAAGCTTTTCAGGGAGAAGAGATTGCTGAAGGCTGATGAGGCAGAAAGAGGTAGAGCTTACAAGGTGCCGAGAATTGGAATTTAAGAAGTGCTTAGGCCCTGGTTCACCAAAACATTTAAGTATGTGCTTAAGTAACTTAAGCATTGTATTCAGTACTTACTCAGCTGCTTAAAGCTAAGCATGTGCCCAAATGGGGACTGACAGCCCTTAGTTCCCATTGACTTGAAGATGAAGAATTGAGAATTTTAATCATTTTCAGAAGGTGCTTCACACCTTGAAGACTGGACCTGAAGCCATGTGTTGTGCACCAGGATTATACCTCAAGTTTCTACTTTCCCTATTATTTTCCACTATTCTTATTATAAATGAGAACTTGTGACCCTTGCTCCTGAGTGTGATCCTTCCTCACTCAGACCCTATCATTAAAGTCAGCAATGCTAACCACACTAATGGGGACTAATTAGGGTTTCAAAGTTAGGCTGCGACTGAGAATATCTATAAATCATTTCCAGTAGCGAGAGCCTGCTTCTGCTTCCATTGACTTTACTGGCAAAATTCTCATTGACTTCACTGGGAGCAGGCTCTGGCATTGACCCACTCCTACATGCAGTGCTGAAGATGTATGAGAAGGAACAAACTGCTATTATTCTACCCAAAAATCCAAAATTACAAAGGTCATGCATTTAAATGACAAATGGAGAAAGTTCATACTGCTTTCACCCGTTTACCAATCATTTCAGGAAGAAAATCTGTACCAGATCCTTACTGGTTTTATGTTAGCTGACCTGGAAAGTAAAACACAAACTAAAACCTCTTTAGACCAATCCAACCCGCAAAATGTAAAAGCTTCATTCAAAAGGAATTCAATCAAAGTTGGAAAATAATAGTGGTTGTTGGTCAGGACTTATGGATAATGTAATGCCTTATGGGAGGACCCAGTATCAATGTTCTGCTCTAGTCACTAGAATTGTTATTAATGACTTGCTGTTTGGAACAGGATGATATTGAAAAACATTTGACTTCCATTTTTAAGGTGCTGGTTTGAATCATCCTTTGGGTAACCAGTGCTCAGTCTGGTCACTAACGGACATTTAGGAACACCTAAAACCTGTCCCCCTGCAAATGATAATACAGTACCAGTTCTAGAACCCCATTTAGTCCCTGGCTGTGTCTAGACTGGTAAGTTTTTCCACAAAAGCAGCTGCTTTTGCGGAAAAACTTGCCAGCTCTCTACACTGGCTGCTTGAATTTCCACAAGAACACTGACTTCCTACTGTCTCAAATCAGTGCTTATTGCGGAAATACTATGCTGCTCCCGTTCAGGCAAAAGTCCTTTTGTGCAAAGCTTTTACGCAAAAGGACCAGTGTAGACAGCTCAGATTTGTTTTGCACAAAAAAGCCCCAATTGCAAAAATGGCGATCGGGACTTTTTTGCGGAAAAGTGCATCTAGATTGGCACGGACGCTTTTCCGCAAAAGTGCTTTTGCGGAAAAGCATCCGTGCCAATCTAGACGCTCTTTTCCGCAAATGCTTTTAACAGAAAACTTTTCAATTAAAAGCATTTGCGGAAAATCATGCCAGTCTAGACGTAGCCCCAGAGTACTTTGCCCACAGCAAAAGGGGCAATAACACTTCCTGAGAATGGCCAGGGAGAAAGGAAGCAGTGTTTGCAAGACAGCTGCTCTTCTGCACTGGGCCACTAGTGCTGCATCAGTGCTACTGGACAGTGCCCAATATGATATATAACCTAGGGATCCCTAGACCAACCCCCACAGAGATGGAGCAGCTCAGTCTTCCCGTTCCCTTCTGCTGTCCTGCCCTTGCACACAGCAGCCTCAGGCATTGTGGCTGGGGGAAGTGCAGCCATTGGCTCTGAGTCAGCATTTATGCTCGGTGACCTCGCCATCATTGGATGGATCTACCCGAGCACGCCAAACACATAGGGACAGTTAACGCTGCTTCCAACAGCATTAACAAAACCTCCTTTTGTATGATTTTTGGGCTATGAGTAAGGGATATATTACGTGACTTCGCCTCCCCACCCCATTCTCTCAGGGTACATCTACACAGCAGGGCAAAACTCAAATTAAGCTATGCAACTTCAGCTACAGCAATCATGTAGCTTAAGTCAAAATACTCAATTCGACTTTGGGCGCTGTCTACACAGCAGGAAATCGAAGGAAGAACAGTCTTCCTTCAACTTCCCTTACTCCTCGTGAAATGAGGGTTACAGGAGTCAGAGTAAGAAGCCCTTCTGCTTGACATTATGTTGAAATAAAGGCTTGCATGTAGATGTGCACTATGTTATTTTGGACTAATGTGTAGACATAGCCTCAGGCTGTTCCCTATCATGATTCATGAGCTCTAGAGTATGGATCTTTAAGGTGCTATTCAGGACATTGGTTTCGCAACTCACCCAAAAGATGGATTTTGAATATCGTTTGGCACGTTTGGTAATTTGTGCTTTAGAAAGACCTCAGGCTGTAATAATAGGGTTGATTCAGGTCAGAGTTGAGGTGCTTTGGTGGAAAATGTGATAGAAAGCGTTACTAGCATCTGCTTGCCCCATCTGCTTTAGATT